GTAGCGGCAGCCAAGAAGACAAAGGATGATAAAAAGAAAGCTGAGGAGAAGAAAGAAGCGCAAAAGGAAGGAGCAAAGAAGGTTGAGGAGGAGAGCGAGGGCCCAGAGAAGAAAGCATCACCAGCCGTTCCCAAAGACGGCAAGGAGAAGAAGGAGAAAAAGGAGAAGAAGGAAAAAACAAAGAAAGACAGCGATGTAAAGGAAGATTCGTTGACCTCAGCGGCATCTAAGAAGAGAAAGAAGGAGGAGCCAGAGAAAGCTGAGGAGAAGAGAGAAGTGCAAAAGGAAGCAGAAAAGAAGGTTGAGGAGAACAGCAAGGACCCAGAAAGCAGCAGCTGCTCAGCACCAGCTGTTCCCAAAGACGGCAAGGAGAAGAAGAAGCAGAAGAAAGAGAAAGACAGCGATGCAAGGGAAGATTCGATGAGCTCAGGGGCAGCTAAAAAGAGAAAGAAGGAGGAGCCAAAGAAAGAAGTGCAAGTGGAAGGAACAAAGAAGGTTGAGAAGAGGAGCAAAGAACCCGAGGGGACAGAGAAGCGCAAAGAACATGAGTTTGACAGCGCAGATGGAAGGAAGAAAAGGACCAAGACGGCAAGCCAGGCCAGCTAACTTGGGCCATGCTTTGTGCTGGGGTGAGTATTAAAGTAACATATTATTTAAGGGAAGCGGCAAACCATCCACAGGTATCATGTAATCCCCCCCATGGCCTGTTCAGGAGATGTTGGTTGAGAGATCAGAAACTTTGGAGAGCTTTGATCTTCGTGATATTCTCTCTCCTTCAGTGTCCGCCCGGCGAGCGCTAAAGTTTGAATCGGTGCCTGGGCTGAGTGCCCTTCCAGTCGTCCGTTGTTTTCCTGGAGCCTGACAAACCCTTCTCCGGAAGCTGTCGTTTTCAAAGGTATCTGAGAGCAGCCCACCTTCAACTTCTGCGGAGCGCTCGGAGCGCCAACCGCGAAGGGAGTTTACGGAGGAAGAGAAGGCCAAGATTGCAGCCATGCAATCACCCGCTGAAATGCCATATGAAGAGCCTTATGTTGATGTTTGATGTTTCGCCCTAGTTGGTACCATGCATCCCACGTGTGATTGGTTAGATTTAGTCGCTCTTCTAGGGAAAGGGTAGTCCGATGTACAAAACTGAGGAAAGAAAAAGACAATACAGTGCAATGCGGAGAGCTATCTTTTAAAGATGCTCGACCAGAGCTGGTTGCCAAATTTTCGTTGGCCAGTGACGCAGAGAGGTAGCTTGGCTACTGAGGTACTTAAGCTCGATTGTGGTCAGCTTCCTTTTTTGTGGATAGTCTAAGCTGAGGTTCACCATGCTAAAAGCATGGTGCCAGAACCAATCACTCGCGGAGGTGGAGATAGAAGAGAAATACGTTCAGTGGGTCCAGTCGTTGAGGACAGATCGCTACGTAACCGCCCTGTCCTTACAGTAGTGTGGGGATTCCCTGTTGAACTGGATGGTCATGGAGCTGTGCAAGAAATCACCCAAACCTCGCAAATAAGGTGACCATCTTTCAATTGGAAAAGATATACGGCAAGTCACCGGAAGCCAAGAAGTTCATCGAAGCTGTCACAAAGGGAAACTTATCTGGACATTTTAGATCAAACTTGTTCATCGATTTGGTTCGCTACTCTGAAGATTCATTCAAAGATCGATTGAGAACGTCCAAGGCCAAAAGGGTGTCCCCCACCCACAGGCATGGCCTCCACTTGGGTCTGCGATGTTCTTGTTCCTGTCGTTTTCTTTCGGGCCTGGGCAATTGATGCATCTGCTCTTTGTTTGGAGGCCCCAGATTGCAAGAAAGCCCGGATGTTCAAGGTCCTCAAGGAGGTCATCGAAGATACTTCGTGCGGCAATTCCACTCAGAAAACTGCAACTTCCCATCAAACAAGTGACAAAAAAGACAGTATGTATTTTTGAGGAATCGTATATGGAACTTCTCCGTGTTTTAGCTGAGGCATCGCTCTCTGGACGTGTTCGGGATGAGGGGGCCAAACAACTTCTGGCCAAACAACTGCAGGGACTTGGCGTTGGAAATGAGTTCATGAACCTGACAACTGGGGCCATAAAGACAAGGAAACCCAAGAAAGAGAAGACTCCGGAGGAAGAAGCCATGGTGGAAATGAAAAAGATGCAGAAAAAAGCGTTTTGTTTCAATTTAATTGTTCATGTCAATTGCAAACCCTTACACCATATAAGTACATTGGGGAATGAATGTCAGCCCTCGGAACTCAGGTGGAAGAGCCTTCTCAATGACCTTGACTATGCCATCAACGGCTTATTCGAGTATGAGGTGAGGAACTGCAAGGAATTGGCCTCTTGGTTGCAAGTTCCTGCACTCTCCTGTACATTGCCCCCCTGTATTGATGTGGCAAATGTTCATAGTACTTCATGAACATGCAATTGTTTCCATTGAAGTTTGTTTCGATCAACACTCATTACAACATTCAGGTGGCGGCCCTCGAGAACCACAGGCCACATGCAGAAAAATGTTTTGACAATGTTGATGCAAAGGCGTCTGTTCTTCTGTCGGAAGTTGATGCACTGGAATTCACTAGCTTCTTGGAAGAGCAAAAGCATCAGGCACAGCCGATTGAAGTCGATGTGCGAGACGCCAAGCGTCGTATTACTGTTGCAAAAGGCCCCAAGAAAAAGACACCGCAGCCCCCCTGTAGAGAGTGAAGCGGAATCGGAGTAGATGTGTTTCATAGTATGCCCTCTGTTGCTTTACAGTCGTCGCTATACCACTCAACGGTTCCTTGTATTTAGTGGTTCTCCTTCTATTTCACGATGGGGCAGTGCAGGGCTTTTGTGGTTTTCACCACTTGCCCATGATGTTGAGCTCTAGGCTTCAAAACGGCCCAGGGGTTCATGCCAGCTAAGACTTTCAATAATTGGATTGGTCAACACCAGTCCGATGCACGTTGGGGACTTTCTCCTGGTGACAGTTTTCATGGATTTGCCCACTACCTTGATCTCACCCCAATATCAACGGATCATTGATGTTGACGCTTGGTATCGCTTGGTCTTTTCATACTGATCCAGGGGATCATATGGCAAAGCCTTTGGCCTCCCGGCCAACAGAACTTGGTCTGCAGAGAACCACTCGCACCTGCACAGAGGCAGCTGTTGCAATGGCAACAGTTTGCTGGATCAGGTTGAAATTTAGAAAGGGAAAAGAAAGGGTGTGGCAACTCTGAGTCGAAACCAAAAACCCTTGCAAACTGTGGCGTGTCAGTGAACGTCTTTGAACTGAGGTTCACAGTTTGCATTGTAGTAAATGATGGAAACCGGTGGCAAAGAGTTGGCACCATGTCTCATCTCAAAGGTGATAGGAATGCAATACATGTAGTGCAACCTAAGTAAAACAAAGAGTTATCGCCACAAACCCTTGACCTTTGGTTTTCTTTGGAACCTCTCGGTCCTGCCTCATGGATATTGTCGAGGAGTTTCTGGAACTGGGAAAGAATGTATCTTGTATGGCAAAAACAGCGCCTGTGTTTTCCAAGCTGGTGGAACCTTGGACTTGTTTTTTTTAAGCGAGCTTTGTTTCAGGTAAGCATTTCCACATTGATCGAAATGCTGCGGGTTCTTCGTAGAAGAATTCCAAGCAAGCACCTCCCGAACCTTGGATGCTACATGAACAACATGAGACAAGTTATCGATGTCCCTTAGGTGGAGTATATCCCTCGACCTTTACACCTACCGCCTGCCCAGGGCAAATCTTCGAGCTTTGGTGGCTATCGATGAGGAGGACACCAAGAACTGTGGCCGTCGATTTTGGTCATGGCTACATAAACAAAAATGGAGGGCCATGTTACCACGACCCAAGGAGTCCTTTGGAACAAATCACGTGATGTGACCATTTTATGGTGCTGTGAACCAATCAGGGTTGACACGACATATCATGCGCCTAGGGTGCAAGTGGTTTTGGTGGATCATAGCCGTCAGCAGCCTCACTATTTGGGTGATTGGCACCTGTTCCTTCCGAGCGAAGTGTGACTTGGAGACTTTGAATTCTTGATATGTCATGAAGATGCTTCCGGAACACTGTCCTGCATCACCTTCAAAAATTACTGCTCATTCAGGATCCATTCAATGTACGAGTATGATGAAGGGCTATTCCGCGACCGATGGATTGGTCCTCCGGGGGTTTCTTGTGCGCATATCAAACGTGTAATGTGATGTTGTGATTTGGGGGACTTTCTTTTCCCAGGCTCTTGAAACTTTCTGGAACAACCAAAGGGGAACACGGTGGTTCCAGAACCATCCCATCCTGAACAACCCTGAGTCTCGGCTTGCTGTAGAAATGAGCAAACCAATTGTCAAGAGTCAAGATCAGTGAAGTTTTGGGTCTTGGTGTGATGTGGTTTGATTTCAGCGTTGCCATATATAGGAAGTGGACCTGAGATTCGTGTTCCCGATCATGTGTCATGGTGATGATGCAGACAGTCACCGGAGGAGGTCATTTTGCACAGTGACCATTGGTAGCCCACTTATGCCTGCCAGATCGACCTGGGAGAATCGCGTGATGATCTACATCATAGACACGTCACGGGCAGTGACGGAGACCTATGATGTGTTAGACTCATGGGTCGTATACGGACTGTGTGAGTTACAGGAGGGTAGATTCTTTGATGTTGATTTGTATGGTGCACCTTGTCAACGGCCAAAGGCTGGACAACATATTTGTGGGCAGTTTCGCGGAGTGCTGGTGGCCCTGAAAGGGGACCAGAAATATTTGCAGCGCAATTTGAAGCTCACAACGTCTTGGAATTCGGAACGGGTTTGCATGTACTGCGCTGCTACTTCCCACGGTGCTTTGATGTACACTGCCTTTGGGCCTAATGCCCCACATCGAGGGACTCTTGTGAACAACGAATATTTTATGGCCAACGGATGTCGGCCTGGTCCTTGGATACGACTGCCAGGATTTGATTTGGAGCTGGTCCTTGCGGACTGGCTCCATCTTGTTGACTTGTCGCTCACGCCGGAGGTTTGTGCGAGTGACACTCTGCAGTAAGGATGTGTGTTTTCCTTTTTGGGGAGTCATGGGGAGTAAATAGTTTTGGAAGTGCTTCTGGCACAGTGGGAGTCACTCGCTGTTGAGGCTTTAATAGAACTTACAGAAGATAGCGCCTTTTGGGAAGCTGACAGCCAAGATGAGCGTCTGAGACTGGCATATTGTCAGTTCATTGCACTGTGCAAACAGCACAAAGTCAGTAGCTAGGCTGCACGTGAACTGTGCGCAACTGTGGTTTGGATGTTGTTTACCCGAATGTAAAGTCTTGCCACAATGTTTGCTTGTTGCTCGGTTGCTCGGTAACCATGCAGGAAATCGTGGACAAATTTTCAGTGTGTGACTAGCCTGCAAGAAAAGCGAACTTGATTACAGTATGACCCACTGCTGTGATTTGCATTCCTCGTTTCTTTTCTTGATGCAACACTTTAAGGAAGCAGCTGTATCCACTGGGAAAACAGAACTACCCCACCCTCGTGCAAAAGCACTTTAACGGTGCTGACACTTGCCGTCAAATCGATTCTACCTGCAGCTGTGTTTGAAACAGGGTAACCTCTGGTGATCAGGAAGGTGCAGTGCTTGCAAAGTTCCTGAAGGGAATCACTGTGGCTGCTGCAAATGCGGCCCCTGAAAGTGAGCACTGTGCGTTTCTTGGTTTTGCATGCTTCTGCTGCTCCTTGTGTGTTGCATTGCTTGCCCCTATTGTGCATGTGATGCAAGGCTGAGAGCAGCTCTGTTTGTGAACCTTGTGGCCATGAGATCTTGCATGGCCCGCAGTCGTAACGCTGGTGAGTTTGTGCTTTCACCTGAGAATTTAGCAACTTTGCGGAATGCCAACTATTTGCTGCACGCTGC